AGTAATCGGAGCAGCACGTAGTCGGGCTGATGTGGAAACCCAGTGTCAAGTCAGATAGAAGATGTATGCCTAGATCAAAGTTCGGTTGCTGTCTTTTTATTCTGACTATATGGCTAGAGAAAGTATATGTATGCCCACCATATAGCTGTACTACAAATTGGTATAAGTGAGCTTTCAAAATGCTTAAGTTTTTTAGGAGCATAAGTCCCATTGAGTTTCAATGGAACTTGTGCGTTTAAGTAATGTAGGTACTTTTGAAAATCCCATTCTTCACTTTTGAAAATCCCACCCTTAGCCTTTTGATTTCCTGCTGTATTTGTCCCAGTTGAATATATACATTATTTGCCCTAGCTATGAATACCTAAGATATAGTATAAGCCATTCCATAATAAGTTTACAGTGTTGTACAAGGAGAGCCATGTTGAAATGCGTGTCTACACACAAATTTAAATTCAAATTGGTGCATGCTATTGTGCAGACACTCTCATTTCAATTTGGCTTAAACCTGTTCCAAATCAATTTAAGCTAAACCAGGAAAAGCCATTTTTAAACTGAAATAAGAATGTCCACACTGGCTTGCACCTGTCTAACTAAATCAGTTTTAATTCACATCATTAGATAAACTGGTGCAATTCTAAGTATAGAGGAGCTGTTAGAACAGAATTGTCTTTAAAAGGAAAGAAAAAAGTTAAACGGTGCTGAATTTCAGATGTATTTATTTTCACTCTGTTCTTCTGGTGCAGACTAGAAATGTTTACGGAGATCATGCAACCTTGGCTCATGCTGCAGCTTGGTTATCAAGACTATCAGACCTTGCACCTTATGATGTGAAGTTAAACTGGCGCTATCCTGTTTTACTGCCATTGCAGTTCACGTAGGAAACCCTATGCAGAGTTATTTCTTTTTGAAATGCTGGGAAACGGGCTGCTACATGGGGGCAGGTACATCCATCATGAGAGTCTTTGATTTGGAGGAAGGCAAAAATAAAAACCTGTGCTACGCATAGCAATTACGTAGTAGTGCACCACTGCGGGAAATCATCTCCTTAGCACAGCTGGTAGTAATAATAATAAATTCCACTTCTAGTGCCTTTCATCCAGAAGGCTCTCAAAGCACTTTACAAACTGCGTAGACAAACATCCACTTAACCTACTGGTGAAATGCAACCACCTCTGAGGTAGAACATGGCAACGCTATGCAACAGTTTGCAACAGGACAGGTAAGGATAATTTAACTAGTGCTGTCCATGTGAGGATCTCAGCCCCCTTTAACATCAGTGACTTCATCTCACAGTGCCCCTCTGAGGCAAAGTGAGGGTAGATGGGTTGGCCAAGGTCATCCAGGAAATCTTTGGCAGAGTCAGGGATCAAATCCAGATTTCCCAATTCTCAGTTTCATACTTTAAACACGAAGCTATCCTTCTCCTGGGAGAATTTTAGATAGGCACATAATGTATTTACTTAAAGTAGAATTTAGCCAGGATGGCACCGGGTACAGGATCTTTAATTATCACAAGTGAACAGGAAATAAGTTTTCCATCTCATCTGAAATACAGCCCCTCCAGCAGCACAGTACCCTTAACCCTATGATAATCAACAACGCTGGTGCCTGGGTTTTCTTTGGAGGCCTGCTATCCAAGTACCAATAAGATCTGACTCTCCCTGATGTAGCCTAGTGGTTAGATTGGAGGACTGGGAGTCAGAACTCCTGGGTTCTGGTCCCAATCCTACTCCCTGTGACCTTGAGGCTAGTCTGTGATTCAGTTTCCTCCCCTGTAAAATGGGTATAATAAGATATACCCCAGCTAACTCTCACTTGCTTAACTAATATTTGCAAAGCATGTTGAGATCTTCAGATGAAGGGCTGTATTGTAAGTGCCTATTTTGAGGAGATCTGATCAGCTAACAGCTCAGGGCAGTATAGCTGCGGGTTGTTCCCTTATCACATGAGGATTGAAAGCTCTGGCCGTTTTCCTCTTAACTAATGTATTGCCAATGCTGTACTCATTCAGGTGTGTTTCATCTTTTTAGAATCTTTATTAAGCTATTTGTTCCGGTAATATCCCATAGCCATGAATTGCTACTGTATGAGCTTTCCACAAGGCAGTGGCAAGAGCAGCGTATGCATTTACCAGTAGAATCACAAAGCAACTCTTCATTCTCTAGCAGGAGCCTCCATTTTGCAGTCTGGCTACATGTACCTTAAGCTCTCTGGCACATGTTCAGATCTCAGTTTACATGGATGCAAATCCAGAGTAATACCGTAAATGTCAGTGGATTTGCTCTGAGACAGTTGAGTTCAGAACCGATCCTGAGCATTTTCCTAAAGAGCCCAGTTTAAATAAAAGCTGATTTGATGGATTTGGGCACCTAAGTGTTTTGCTTCAGGATCAGACATGAGATGGCAGGGCTCCAGCTGGAAGGAGAGAGTTGTTTGTGAAGTCACACAGGCAATTAGGGGGTGTTGTGGGCTAAGGAAGGATCCTCTGCAGCTTGAGTTTGATCAACAAGGTAACATCATTTTTGTAGCAAAGAATCCTGTGGCACCTTATAGACTAACAGATGTATTGGAGCATGAGCTTTCGTGGGTGAATATCCACTTCGTCCACATGCATCCGACGAAGTGGATATTCACCCACGAAAGCTCATGCTCCAATACATCTGTTAGTCTATAAGGTGCCACAGGACTCTTTGCTGCTTTTACAGATCCAGACTAACACGGCTACCCCTCTGATACTTGACATCATTTTTGTAGCACTTTGTGAATAAACAGAGCAAATACCTTTCCTCCAGCCATAAAATCTGAGACCTACTGCTGGTGTCTGAAGTTATGTGGAAGGGGCAGTGTCTAGGATGGTGCTGTAGCACTGTGATTCCCAAACACTGAGCCCAGTACTAGAACTTTAGGTTCCTCCTTCCTTTGTTAAAGCTGAGTTGGGCACCCATGTGCTGCCACTGCCTGCCTTCTTACTGATTCTCTCTAATACTCAGCAGGTATAAATCGGTGTAGCTCCATTAAACCCATTGATTTACACCAGCTAAGGAACTGCATGCCATCTAACCTGTAACTGGCAAGACCAGACTTCAGAGCAGCCTGTGATCCATTGCTGGTTCGAGGAGCCAATGGGTACTGGCTGACTCAGCCTAGGTCTTACTTAGCTACACTGGTACGGTTGCCTGAAACACTTTGGAACCTCTGTCTCCAGTAAGGTATGGTGGGGTCACTCTCTGCCTGAATTGTGATTGTGTTTAACAGATCTAAGAATAGAAAGCTAAGCCCTCCACTAACAACGCTTCCACAGCACAGAGAAAGGAAAGGAAACGATTTGTTTCCCACAATCATTTGTTCTTCAGTATTGTTTTCTATCCCTCCTATTACAATCGGCCCCAATGGGAATCTGGCACCTTGGTATCCGTTAGCCAGTGGGGAATCTCCAGCCGCCACAAAACAACCTCAGGGAGGCAACGCTCCAGCTTACTTCCTGGCCGCAGCGACTCTAGTTTTCGGCTTTGATTTGATTTGTTGCTCTAAGGGCCTAGCAGGCAAGCAGCACTTTTTTCTTTTAAGTGCAGCTTTCATAAAAGCTGTTAAATAGGATTGACTTACAGCCAGTATCTAGGAAGAGAGGGAAATGAGACTACAAATGTGGAGCTTGCTTGTTTTTTTTTTTATTTGGGAGTGGGGGTGGGGGGTGTTAAGTCCAATTCCAGCCTCACCACCAGACGTAACCTTTAAAACTTCATCCACTGAGCCACAACATTCGCTGGAATTGTAATTCGTTTCTGCTTGGCATCTAACAGGCCTGGTCCAAAAGTAATAGTCTGAGTCAGTGCCATTAACATTAAGGGGAGATTTACTATTCACTGCAGTGGGATCAGCATCAGGCCCATACAGTACACTTAAGGAAAACCTACCCCATGTCAGTGAGGCGCACAGTTGGGGTTTACAGACTTGGGCTTGCAGGGCTCGTAGGATAGCACTAAAAATAGTGGTGTAGACATTCGGGCTCAGGGTGGAGCTTGGCCTCTGAAACCCTCCCCCCTTCCTGGGCTTCAGAGCCTGAGCCTGACCATACATACCACCATTTTTAGCACCTTGGCACAAGCCCAAGTCTGTAGATCTGGGATCTGAGACTCCCTGACAAGGGGTTTGTTTGGTTTTTTACCATGTAGACATACCTTTAGGAGAGCAATGAATTCTTCTGAATAGTGAAGGATTCACAGCCCTCGAGACTGTTTATGCACAGAATGTGTATCACCCCAACTTGGAAATGTCCTTTGAGTCCTGAACTGGAGGGGTCCTCTCTAGGGATGAGAACACTTCAGTCCTTGGTGTCTCTGCAGAGACAGCCAACAAGGGTGCCAGGTAGTACAATCTTCGGTGCAGGCACTTGTCTACTGAGAACTGGATCTACACCACCCTGCTCATTTCATAGAGGCTGCTCAACAGCTGGCAAATGATAATCAATCCAAACTGGGCTGGATTTAAACCTGTGACCTAGAAGTGAAAGGCTCTCTAGCCCATAATAGCAATCCCTAAGCCATCCACCCTCATGTTTCACCTGTAGGGCCCTATCTTGTTCAGTGAGACATTTTTGAATGGCATGATCTGCACAGTACTATAAAAAAGGTGTTGCATATTCTGCAAACGTCAAGAGAGCTTGTTGATCACTGTTACGTGCATATAAGCAATATATGGATGTTAAAATGCTCGCTTTTTTCATTGTACAAGCTGCATTCCTGTGTTAGGATGGATTTTCCAGGTGAGTCACTGTGTTGGGGTTTGTCATCAGTGACCTTGTTTCTGTTTAAATCTGTGGCTTTATTTTTGTGGTCATAAATCTAAGTGTGTTGCCGTAATGCACACCTGCATGACAGTGTTTACTGTTCCCAGTAGTGGAATTCTATGCTGTGAATCAGGAGAGCATAAACAGATCTGGGTGTTGTGGTGTTATCCGTCAGGCTTTCATGTCCGCGCTCATGATTTTTATTCCCACCCAGAACTGCAGAAGCATCAAGAAGAAAGAAAGAAAGGAAGCGGAAATTGAGGAGATACTTGATGATTGGCTTGGCAACAGTAGGGGGCGGAACAGTGATAGGTGAGGCTGGCCTGCAGTTTCTGGGACCTGACTGGGTTACACAGATGGTGGCAAGAGCAGAGTGGGAGTTCTGAAATGATTCATTGAGCAACAGCAGCTGTGCTTCCATCTTCGCCCGAGTTCTAATTTTAACACATTCATTGCTTGTAATGTTGTCACGTTCCAGGTAATAGTTCAAATCAGATACAAGGAAAACTCCAAAAGCCAGGAAGATTCTTATGGGCTTTGCAAAAACAAAACCTATGGGGTTAGGGGCAGTCAAGCCTCATTTTTTTTCTCAGGCCAGTGGTAAGGTAATGTGACTCCAATGACTTCTGGGGAGTTCCTGTTGATCTGCAAGATGCAGAAGATGGGAGTAAATGTACTTTTCAGCCTTCAGAAGGTGATTTTCCAGGACAAACTTGAGCTCAGTTGCTCAGCTGATCTATTAGGCAGAATTGTGTGGTGATTCAGATGTATACAAACATATGACCAGTTCCTCAGCTGATGTAAATAGACGTAGCGCCCTTGGATTTAATGGAGCTACACAGATTCATACCTGCTGAGGATCTGGCTCTTTAAACTTATTTCTCCTCATTTACCGTGGTGTTAGAGAGAATCAGACACATAATCTTCTCTAGACTCTCCAAAATCAGGATAATGTGGGATTGGCGCAGGATTTTTCTAATAAGAGATGGCTGGAATTTACATTCACTTACACCGATGTTTCTCCTTTGACTTCCATGGAGTTAATCCTCATTTATACTGGTGATAATGAGAAGACAATCCAGGCTGGAGACTCAGCGAGTGGGGAGGGTCTCTGAAAATCAGGGTTGGGTTTGTTGATGGAGCAGTGTGGGGAAGACCAGACTGGATTTCTGAGGGGAAGGTGATCCCTTCTAGCTTATGGTTCAGGTTCTTCCATGGGATGTGGTGGGTTAGCTCACTCCCTGGTGCTTGTGAGCTGTTCTCACAATAGGAAGTTATCCCCTCTGCTGACACATCACAAAGACATGAAAATCTGTTTGTCTTCCACCACGATCATGCACTGAAATTCTTACTTGCTGCACCCCTAGGTTTGACGGGGGGGCTTGCTGCCCCTCTCGTTGCTGCTGGAGCTGCAACTATCATTGGAAGTGCTGGGGCAGCAGCTTTAGGGTCAACGGCGGGAATCGCTGTCATGGCATCACTCTTTGGAGCAGCAGGAGCTGGCCTTACTGGTAAGATAACAGATTTAGATTCTGAACCGCCAAGCCACGGAATAATGTATGCAAAGTCAGGTACTAATGGCTGAGCTTGAGAGTTTGAGGTCTGCAAAGGGAATTGTGGACTAAACAGTCTACTTGTACAGCAGCAGAACTCAACCTCTGGTTCTCCAGCAGCCCCTGATCTTCATAGCCCTGCGCTGGCCCTCTTCTCGAGCCCGAGTTAGATATATAGACCATCTATCAGGGATGGTCTAGACAGTATTTGGTCCTGCCATGAGGGCAGGGGACTGGACTCGATGACCTCTCGATGTCCCTTCCAGCCCTAGAATCTATGAATCTATGAATTGTGCCGCACCCTGGTGACAATGCAGCATTTTCCCCTGGGTTAATGGCAACTGGGTTAGACACTGTAGACAAGATACCCTCATGCAGACAAGTTACCTTTGGGATTGTAGCTAACTACAGTAAATGGAAACCTTTTCAGTTTTAGCTTTAAGAACTATGGTTTAATAGAGGACAGTTATTACTGATAGCAGATAATGCATCCTGCTGCCGTCCCATCCGATCACCCAAACAAAGCGCTAAGAATTTGTTATTAATTTCTGCTGTTGGCAGCCCCTACCATTACTTTGTGATTTCTATACATGCAGGCTACAAGATGAAGAAACGAGTAGGAGCCATCGAAGAGTTCGAATTCCTCCCTTTAACTGAAGGGAAACAACTTCATATCACTATAGCCATCACTGGCTGGTTGTGTACTGGCAAATACGGTAAGAGCAAGACAAGAAATCCTAGACAGAATTTTGGAAAGCCATATTTGTATTGTCAAAGATGGGAAATAGTGTTTATATATGAATCGTGAAATATAGCAGGACCAAGCTGATGTGTTGGAACTTTTAATCCCCATCTGCTTAGGCTAGTGTGAATAGGTTCAAAATGTAAAAGGGAGCATTGGATGGCGCTGGAGGGTTGGAATAGAATTTGTGGAGTCTCACCTCTGGTCATCATGTCAATTCCATCCAATGTTGATAGTAACTGAAAGTCGTGATGGCCATTGGGTAGCCTGATGTAAGTTATGTGTTCGACACAATGTGCAGTGACTCTGGAGACCTCAGTCCAGTTTCTCTGGAGAGGTGTTCACATCACAAAAACTATCAGACCAGCTGACATTTTTTGGAACCTGAAGCAGGACAGAATGACAGAAGAGAAGAATTTGCTAGCGATTTAAGGTTAAATACGAGTCTTCCTCTCTGGGTCGGCCTTTATTGCAAGAGTTCTGGTTTAACCCAAATTGGTGCCTTCTATCAATGGTAGTGCACACCAGCTATGAACTATCAAATAGAGCTTCCCCTGCTCCCCTCCCCTCAACTGCAGTAGAACAGAGTTTAGTTACCAGTTAAAAGGTTTTCTTCATCAAGTGTTGAATATTCTGAAAGGGGAGCAGTGTTTAATATAGGGGAGGGGGCGTTACCTCAGCTCTGTTCCTAGGACCATCAGCCTTTACACTTGTAAATCTGGGCTATGATGTCTTTCCAGCTGTTCTCATGTGCCCTTACTGGCAGAGGTGAGATTTAAGCAATCTGAGGGTCCCCACCCCCCTTTAAAACGCAGACTGTAGCCTCATCCAGAAAAGAGAAAGGGTAAAGCACAGCAAACTGCTAGCAGGGATGGTTATAGAAAAATGGGAAGTGTTTCTATTAATATATCCTGCATGTGTGTTTGCTAGAGCTGATCTGACTTGCGTGGATGATGCCTAGTACCTGGCACAAAGTGCTTTCGCCAATTATTGGAGCTTTTTTTGTGCCTCGCATTTATCCACAGGCAATTAATAGAATGCAGTTTCTTTTTCTCTCCCAGTCTCTGCCAGCTAAAGAGGTTTATTGGCAAGAAGGTTCAGTCAAGTAAACCACGTTACATTCAGTGCTGAAGGGGTGAGCTAATAGCCTGCAACCTCTGAAAATTTGTAATATTATATTGTAATTTCAAATACAGTCACAGTTGTAACTTGTCATATGAAATATGTCAACCATCTGCTGTTAATATGTTCAGAGACCCTATTGAACGGCTGCCAGTACATTCCATTGAGGAATATAATAATAAATATTCTATATCATTAATACTATAAGGACATTTTCTGTCGGCCATTTCTTGTTACATCCATTCTCCCATCAGAATCTGGTGTTTTAAAATCTCTGCTTTCCCGTCATGTTGTTCTCTTGTTGATACCACACAAAGGTTTCAGAATTTTCTGGGACTGGAGCGTTATCAGGGGGCTGTTAAGAAGTCACTGTGTGCCTTTCGGTAGATGATTTAATCATTCTCAATCTCACTTTGCCCTTAAAATGAGAGTTATGGAGGATCTGAACTGGGAAGGGAGTTTCCATAACTAGAAACAGGATACACTGTTTAAAACAGCAGAAATAAAACAACCCTTCAGTTGCCTCCTTTAATGGTTTTATCTGTTTATCTTAAGTATTTATATGATCCCCGTCACCGTAGTATCTGGGGCCCTCTTCACACTACAGACATGACAGCTGCATGGCTACAGAGCCAAAGTGTAGACTCAGACTATAGCAGTGAAGGGGGTTTTTCCGTTTCTCCACCTCCCCGAGCGATCCACCAACCTAGCCACGTCTACACTGCGGGAGGGGATTGGTCAACATAGCTACAGCACTCAGGGGTATGGATTTTTCATACCCTGGAGCGTTTTATAGCTATGTCAATGTAAGTTTTAAGTGTAGACCAGGCCTGAGACCCTCACAGTCCTTTAATATATTTATCCTCACAACCCCCCGTGAGATAGGGAAGTGCTATTGTCCCCACTGTGCAGCTGGGCATCTGAGGCACAGAGAGACTAAGGACCAGATTTTTAAAGGTGTTTAGATGCCTAAACATGCAGAGAGGTGCCTAGTGCGATTTTTCAAAAGCACCTAGGCACCTAACTACATCTTTGGGCATCCAAATACTTTCAAATACCGACCCTAAGAGACGCGTCCAAGATCACTCAGGAAGTCTGTGGCAGAGCAGAGTAGTGAACCGTGGTCTCCTGAATCTTCCTTACCATTGAACCATCCTTCCTCAGTCCAGCTTTCTGTCCCCCTCCTCATGTACAAGAGGCCAGACTCCACTGTTTCCGATTGTGTGACAGTAAAGCAGCATCCCAGCCCTGCTCAGTAAAATACATATGCTATAGGAGTGTAGCAGAGCCAGATGGCACGTCTTGTACCAGCTTTCAGTCACGGTTAGTCACAGCAACAAGGAGTTAGTTTGGTTTATGGTATAAAAAGTACCTCATCGTACACTTTATATAGTGATTGGATTTAAACTACTCCGTCTCCTTCCATCTAACTGCTTTTGGGTGGTCTGTATGAAATGAACTGGTGGTCTCTTTCCAAGTCACTGTTGTTCACATGACAGAACAATTTCAGTTTACACTATTTGCCCTTTGATGGCTGTTTCAGCAGAGAAGCCAAGGAATGAATGGGCCATTAAGACTGAATTACAGTAGAATCTCAGAGTTACGAACACCTCGGAAATGGAGGTTGTTCGTAATTCTGAAATGTTCGTAACTCTGAACAAAACATTGTGGTTGTTCTTTCAAAAGTTTACAACTGAACATTGACTTAATACAGCTGTGAAACTTTACTATGCAGAAGAAGAATGTTGCTTTTAACCGTCTTAATTTAAATGAAACAAGCACAGAAACAGTTTCCTCACCTTGTCAAATTTTTTTTTTAAACTTTCCCTTTATTTTTTAGTAGTTTACATCTAACACTCTGCTGCTACCTGATTGCATACTTCCAGGTCCAAATGAGGTGTGTGGTTGACTGGTCAGTTCATAACTCTGAGGTTCTACTGTATAACTAAGTATGGTCCCTTCTAGTCAAGATTGAGGCAGGTTGGTAGGATATTGTGGTGGAAGCTTGCATGGCTTCTGCTAATGCTGTACTTATTCTGTGGCTGCCTCAGTATGCTATGTATTGTTCAGTAAGGGAACAAGGAGTAGGTGACCTTCGAATTTTAGGAGGCTAAATTATACTATTCCTCTTTACAATTTAGCTGGCATGTATTAGAGTTGCTGGCGTCCCCTCCTGACCCCTTAGCCCACACTTTTCCACTCAGCTGGCAGCAAAAAAATTGTGCTGACAGGAATTGCTACTGCTCTTGATTTGCGTCTAAGAAAAACTAAGCCAAAGAAAAAAGGGGTAGTAAACACACAGTCTGGGTCTCTAAATGGTCTTTATTCTCACTTTCAGACAGATCCATTAATTCAGTCTAAGCCTGCAAAACCCAAGTACCAGGAGGATAATATACCATAGCATAGCACTTAGGACATTCACAGTGAAGTGGCAGATTTAAGTCCTTTTTTTAAAAGGAAAAGAGCCCCAGAATTGCAGCAAAAATGATTAGGAGCATAGGAAGGGATCTGACAAGATCCTTAGCCCCTCTTGCAAGATAGTGAGCACCCTCTGTTCTCATCAAAGTCTCATGGAAACTGTCTCCACTCATCACCTTCTCATCAGAAATGACTAACAAATGCATTTGAAAACGCTATGGGCAAAATCCTGCCATGTTCCTTCAACTACTTTGGGCTGCATGCCCTGTGAGGTCAATCCAAATTTGGCCTAAATGAGGACACAGTATGAACTATAGGATTTAGTCTTATCTTTGGTGAGGGGAGGAAGGTCCTTAACTCCCATCATAATTAGCACTAATTGATCCCTTTTTGGCAGATTCCACAGCAGTCAAGGCATGAATGGGCCACGGAGACTGAACCTGGAGGTGGTCCCTCCATACTGGGTTAAGACTCATTGGCAGAGCAGCTTGGGGTAGCTGGATCTGTTCTTTTGATAAACAAAAGCTTTCAGTCTCCAGTGCTGTCAATCCATCTTTTAGCAACAAGAAATCCAGTTGAAATGAAGGACTTATGAAGACGTGTCCATCGTTAATAGCATTTCAAAATATGATCCCTGAATAATGGAGCAGATTAAAGTATTCTGCAGGTTGACATTATCACTCGCTCCTTGTTTGACTCCTGTGGCCAGTCAGTAGTTGTTTTTCCTCCTGTGAAACTGAATTCTTTGTGTTCCCATCGTTTCTTAGGCAGTTTCACAGCTCCCTGGAGCAGCATGTTGCAGTCCAGTGAGCAGTACTGTCTGGCCTGGGAATCCAAGTACCTGATGGAGTTGGGCAACGCTCTGGATTCACTGCTAAATGGTTTTGTGAACATCATGGCTCAGGAAGCCCTGAAGTTCACTGTCTTATCAGGTAAGCATCTGAGTTATACCGAGGCTGCTTGGGTGCTGAATCTGCTGGTTTCAGCATTTGTGTTTGTTCAAAGAGGCCCTCCCCCGAATAGGTGAATTTTTCCTATTCATTTGTTGATTATCCGAGAAGCAGTGTCACTTGCAAACTTTACATGTATTGACCTTAGTCCTGCAAAGATTTATGCACCTGCTTCATTTTACGCTCTGTAGTTGTCCCATTGACTTCAAAGGAAATACAAAGTGAAGCCCATCCATAAGCAGGATTGAAGGCATGGTATTCCAGAGCAACCCGCCTTTCTTTCAAACAGGGTCAGCGTGAGAGCCTGCTCTTTAGCAGCTCTTGTCATGTGGAACAGCCTTCCTGGATCATTCCATCTCATCAGTTTGTCATGGCATTTCAAATCTCAGCTGAAAACGTCTTTACTCCCTTACCTGTGTGCCTCAGTGTTTCTTTCCCTCTGCTATTTATTATTGTAACTCTTATCTACGCAATTTTACTCAGTAAGGAGTTTTGGATACAACTTGCACAAAAGACTATCCATATTGCATTGCATTGCATGCTTCATCCACAGCTTCCACATGTGCAAACTGCATCCATACGGGATGCCTGCCTGCTTCCGTTACATCTGTCCCAACATTACAAAGCATTAAGTGCACATGTTCTGCTTGTGCACACTGTATCTTTGCATTATACCTGAATGCACTGTATTCCCTGTGTTCTGCATGTGCACGCCCCGTCCATGCACTATACCTGGACACATCATATCCAACATTCCTATGCAGATGACAATGCATTATAACCTCATGCACTGTATTCCTCGTGTTGTACCTGGCCAATTTACATCTGAATGCATTAGGTTTCTCCTGTTTTGCTTGAGCACATTACATCCATGCATTACACCTGAATGCAGTGCATCTTCCTGTGCACATGACATTTAACAGATTCTGTCTTCTTTTTAATTTTGCAAAACACACCTTAAATCAATCTTGGGAAAGAAATGTTGACAGTGACAAAGATGCAGTGTTTTTACTCTAGCAAACCATCTGACTTTTGAAATTTGCCCAGATTTGTAACTTTGATTTCCTGTTTGCTTTGTACCGCTCAGGCATAGTGACAGCCCTGACATGGCCGGCTTCACTTCTTACTGTGGCCAGTGTCATTGACAACCCATGGGGAGTGTGCCTGAATCGATCAGCTGAAGTGGGCAAACATCTGGCACAGATATTGCTCAGTCGACAGCAGGTAATTGGCTGAGGGGGCAAAAAATGGCTCCAGTTATTACAGCTGGAAGGGACTGATATCTTGGGGACGCTCCAGGGGTCTGATGTTTTACAGCATGCTTGTCAAACAACAGGTGGTATTTGTCCATGGGGAAGAAAGTCAATAACAAGCTGAAGAATGCAAAATTGAGGCAGGAGGGAGACCAGCATATATCTCACTCTTCCATGCAGGGAATGAGGAGAACATGGGTTGATGAGAGGCTGCCTGCAAATGTTGGTTTAATTTAACCCAAACCTTTGCTAAATGCAGAAGAGGTCAGTCAGCAATCAGTCTAATAGAGAGTTCTGATAGCAAAAGAGATCGTAGCAGTCCTTTGAAATGCTTATACACCGTTCCCTGTGTAACGCCAACAAACCCGGTCGTCGGGATCAAACCGAGGATCTCTGGAGCTTAGTGCATGAGCCTCTACCACATGAGCTAAAAGCCAACTGGCCGTTAGCTAAGGCTGTAGAGCAGACTCATTAATTGCTTTCTCGCTCTCTAAGTGGTCTCGGTGCCACTAGATGGGACAGAACACCACACCCAGGAAGTGTGTGGGTTACACTTGCAAACAGGGCTTACAGACAGAGTCCAGTACTGAAGGGCAACAAACAAAATCATTGTAGGGAAAAAGCGACAAAGACTGTTGGTCTATAAGGTGCCACAGGACTCTTTGTCGCTTTTTACAGATCCAGACTAACACAGCTACCCCCCTGATAATTGCAGGAAAGTTTAACATGAGACATCCTATGGCATCTATTTTTTGTCACGCATCCATTTAATCCAGGAAGCTTGGTGACACACTGGGGTAATAACAAATCTAGCTTTTCACTGCCAGAGACCTGGATTCAGGTCTAATCCAAGTCAGAAGTGCAAATTGGTGTAATTTGTCCACTCGGCCCGATCTTGACAGTGGGGGAGTGAAAGCAGAGGATGAGGCGGGGGAGAAAGGAAGAGAAAAGACAGACAGCTGAAATACCCACCAAGAGGTAAGAGGCATCGGCAGAGTGGGGCGAGGGAAGATTGCATAGCACCTACCTGCAGCAAGGACCAAATTCTGCTCTGAGCTATGTTGGTATAAATCTGGAGTCATTCCAGTGAGGACGCTGGGTCTTACTTCCTTACTAATCCCAAACTGACATAAGCCCGGAAATTCACCAGGCTTCATTCTAAAATCATTATTTGTAAAACCAACCGTGGAGGGGAGGGGGGAAGTAAAGAATTGGCTTATTCTAGAGGCAGCCACCTTCTGCCAAGAGGAATTAAATTGGGCACAGGTCCTGTTAGCCTGAATTCTCCTCAACTAGCCCCCATTTCTATTGGACACCCAAGCAAAAAGTTCTCGCACAATGATCCCTGCTTCCTCATGGCGCTGAGGCAGTGGCATAGAACTGGCTGGGGTTGCAGGGTATTAGTCAGATTCAGATGGATGTTGTCTCCTCCAGGAAAGTGCTTTGTTGGAGCCAAGGCACAATTATGTTGAGTGATTGTCTGCTCCTGCTGGACGCCCCTGGAATAAAAGTCAAGGGAAAAGAGGGAAATAAAATGGGAGGTGGAGAGGGAAAGAAACAGAAATGCATACACAAAATGGAGGAGGGGGGTAGTGGATGAAGCAACAGGTTGTGAAGGAATAAGATTCAGAACATAAATCCAAAGGAGATGGGGAAGCAGAAGAGCTTAAGCCCAGAATAAACAAGAAGAAAAGAAAAAGGAGCCAAATAGACACATGGGATGGATTGGCACTGAAAGAAACAGCTCAGTAAAACCAGCCTTCCTGCCAAGTCGTCGTCTTCATCCCCAGCTGCCAAACCTGAAATGAAACTTCTGCCCAGGTCCTGCCATTATTTGCTATGAGTACAGGCTGATCTCTGGGTTCATCTTACAGCTACGCTAGTCCAGTATCTATTGTAGATGAGCTATTCAGGGCCGAGAGGTAAAGGGAGACATAGCCAAACACCAGAATGTCATAAATAACTCTGTGAAACAGGAATGTAAGCCAGCAAAGTTGATTTCTAATAAAAACACAGTGCCCAAAAGGCAATAATAAAGGCCTGGTTTGAAGTAAAGATTTGCCCAAGGGCATGTGACGTTGTCTTTTAGCTTTAGTTATGGTTAAAGCACAAAACCCTGCTGTGCCAAAGAACCTAAAACTAGTTAACAGGATGTTTCTGAACCCTATTATACCTGATGTGCGTTTAGCCCAAGGAGAAGGCACTTCTCACTGTTAAAATCCCTCCCTGCTTGATTTATAGAAAATCCTATTAAATGTATTTAAGATAAAATCTTGCTCATTGAAGTAGGATGCTCACATCACATTTTCATGATGACCCCACAAGTAGCAGCCATACACCCTTCCGGCTAATGCTGCTTGAAATAATATTTGACCAAAAAAATTTCTGCCAAAAAATAGGGCTTCATCAATTATTTTGCAGGAAGATGTTGCTTTTCCAATGGAAAATTTCAAAGCAAACCAAAATGAAAAATTTTCATTGAGTTTCCTTTGTTTACATTTACGGGAAATAATGCTACCTGCTTCTTATTTACAATGTCACCTGAAAGAGAAAACAGGCTCCCAGCCGTTACCTCTCTTGGTAGAGACTCAGGTGTGTCTCTCTCCTGACCAGTGTTTTTCCACACTGCACAGTTGCCTGCCTATACACAGTTGCCAGCAAGCCAGAGTGCCTAAACAAGCCAGCTTCTGAGCTTTGCTTTCTCTCCAGAGGCTATGAATAGCATAATGGCCCACAGTTATAAGTTACCACACAGTTCTTCATAAGCAACCACATCTATTCTTAAGGTGAAAGCATTGCAGAGAAAACATATGAAAACAATACAAGAACATGCATGCTAAAAAGCTTACCAAAGGTCATCCCATCTCCAACCTCGGCTCTGGTACGTGTCAGTCCTTCAAAACCCAGAAATGTTTTTTTTCCGTGACTACAAGTTCATAACAGTCTCAGGTTCAGAACCAGAGCCACTAGTTCAGTCTTTCTTTTATGCATCTTGGGCCTTTGATCTTGGCCTCATGTAACGCATGAACAGCAGACAGTGGCTCATTCCCCAAGGCATAGCTTCAAAAGGCTGGGGTTTTGCATAACTGGAGGTGGGGTATTTGCACTAAGCTCTCCCGAGATAGATATTCCCCAGGAAAATCCCTTTAACATTTTCTGTTCCAAAAGACCATTCTTGTCTGGCACATTGTTCACAATAGTCCTTTGAACCCCCAGGACTCACATCTGTCACATCTCCCACCTCGAGAGGTTACATAGAATCCCGGCCCACAATAATACACCATTCATTTCATACAATGGACCCCACAGACACTTAAATTTAATTAAATAAGGTCTCCCAATGATATTGCAGAAAATTGCCATATCTGTCACACAGATCACCACAAATCCCCAAGACCAAGGTTGGGAACCTCATTAACAAATGTCCAACACATGTTCAGTAGAAGGAGCTGAATCCTCTAAACGGTTCCCCATCAAACCAGCATTAGCTCTGGTTTATCTGGATTAAGTTTAAACCAGCTTGCTCGCATCCATATCTCCTCTTGGCTAGAGCTGGTAAATCATCTGTTAATAGAGGCTAGATATGCATACACCCCACTGTTTGCCTTTTCATGGAAAATTGACTGGCTGGCAGTGTTAAAAGCCATGGGAGCCTATTTCACCTGCCAGGTCTATTAACCCCGCAAGCATCGGAAAGGCATGGCACTGCCTTTTCGTCTTCATCTCTGCCAAAGATGGCATTACATTTCATTTCTTGGTGGTTGGGAGCCCCAAGAGAGAGAATGCTTTTGTAAGGCGGAAACAAGTTTCTCTCCTTGCTAGGAAAATGGCAGCAGTTGCTCTAATGGTATTTTACAGCCCTGAAATTACTTGCTTGGGGGTTGGACTTGATTTCCTGCCTTGAAAATGTGTTCCAACACCTCACTCATTTCCATGTTGTTATATGGGGCTTTGCATTCTTTGAAATTAAAATAGTGGTGGTAAGGCGCAGTGCATAGCAAATGGACCGTTCAATGAAAAGGAGCTTCCTTAGACGATGTGTGAGAAACTTGATCTTAATAAAGCAGGAAGAGTGCATTTGGACCCTTATCCAGCAAAGCACTTAATTTTAAGTTAAATGTAACTGTGCTTAACTTTAAGAACATCAGTAATATCATTGAAGTCAATGGAACGGCTCACATACTTAAAATTCAGCACATGCTTACATGATTTGCTGGATCAGAGCCTAGGCACCCACACCGGCCAGCCCTTTCTTTCCAGGTCTAGCAGACTGTTTGACAGCCATACCCTCCTCATTTGTGCCTGTGCCTCTTTGTTCCCTAGGGCAAACGACCTGTCACTTTGATTGGCTTCAGTCTGGGCGCAAGGGTCATTTACTTCTGCCTGAAGGAGATGGCGCAAGAAAAAGGTAGAGTCCAAACATTTAACCCTCTTTTTTTTTTTTCCATCCCCTTTTTTTTTTTTTTTTAATTTAGTGCTGGTAGAAGTTATCATGCCAACAGCTCTAGAGATCGAAGTCCTCTAGAATAGCCACAGAAGGACAGCACAGCCACATGGCATTGCTTTTGTTCTTTACAGCCTGACCTTGATGGACAACCTCTAGGGTTAAGGGAGCAGTTTAGTCTCCAGGGCTCATTCAGTCCTTGGGCTCTTCGCTGAGACAGTCAGCAAAGATGCTAGTTAGTGGTGGTTGTGGAGCTGTGTACGCAGCTCCTTAAGAAAGGCTAAGAGGCTCTGATTGTGTTAAGCTGGAGGAGATATAGATTAGTTTTTTCTGCTGATACAAGTTATCCATTGGGCCACCCTGATGCATAAATGGACCACTTGAACGGAGCTACCCCAGTGCACACAGCTAACAGGACACCCTAACTGGGCCACCCCAATGCACAGGCCTCGTTAGGGCAACAGGCACAAAGCTCACATTACATGGCCTTCATTCAGATGGGTACATGTTAACATTAAAAGGCCGCATATTATTCCTTTCCTTGGCCTCACAATACAGACTTCTCCTGTCAGTAGCAGAAATAACCTGGTCTGTGAACCAATAGAAGGATGTAGATATGCTGAAAGGTATGGACCGCACCTCCAGGCCTTACACCCTGCCCTGGGATACCCCTCCCCAGCTCTGGCTGCAGAGAGACTGTGAAGCAGCATCTCTGTGGGTTTGAAGGGAAGCAAGAGGCACCATGGATAGTTTCTATCCCATTGATCCCCTCCTGGCCACAGCACTTGGATTATGTGCATTCCAAGCCAGTATGTGGCTGAGGGTATTTACTTCCTGAGGTGCAGTCTAAATAGAAACCTACAAAACAGTTTTGAAATATGTTCAGAATTTAATTCTGCTGTCTCCGGTGTAAACCTGGAGTAACTCCACTGACTTCAGTAGTTATTTCAGATTTACACCAGTGTAATTGAGAGCAGAATTTGGCCCTCCATCTGCAAACAGCACTCTTGACGTTCTGTGACATTTGTCTGGTGAATCAGTCTGTGAGCGGCCCACGCTTCGCTGTGAACTTGGCAGAAGATGCTTCGCCTTTATTGGAAGCTCTCTGTAGCTACTGTATCTGATCCCATGAGTTGTCCCTCCCATTTAAGTCATTGAAATGCCACTGTCGTCAGCTATTTTCATGGTAATTTTTCCCTAAAGCCGAGCATAAAACCATCTGTCAATTTGTTACCAGTTGTGGTTTTGTTTATTAATAGATTCTATTCTTAATTTAGAAAAAGAATCAAGTCATTCTGATCAATTGATGTAAATTGCATGTTGGAGTTGAGTCAGTAGTAGTTTGTGCTTATCCCTCCCCCTACCTAGCCAATTTTATTAATTAACATTTGCCCTCAGAGAATGTAGCTAATAAGTAAGGAGCTTTACACTGGCAAACATTCATTAGTAGGTGTTGGCAGGTGGGAACAGATTAAACCAGCATGAGAGGAGGAGGTCAGCTTCCTTTCCGTTTACAGCTGCGTGCCAGGACTTCTCACAGCCCCTGCAATACAAGAGGCCAAATTCTAGTCTTTGTAGCACCAGACTGTATCCTAGTGACTTGATTAGAATCACTCTGAGTTTACCCTGGTAGAACTGAGTTCCGAATCTGGCCCCAGATTTACTCTTTTCTCCTCAGTGTCCTGAAAATGTCGGGGCCATAATGTTTTGAGGCTTTCGGTAGCCGTTAATAGCCCTGCAGTCTCTCTCAATGAGTCTGCACAGCACTAGAGCTAAGTAACATGTGAAAGGGAATCAGTAGGGGCTGTCTGGTTATTTGCCATTCTAAAGAAATCTAAGCATCATAAATACATCTTGTAGCGGCCTCCCCACGGCACACTGATTGTTCAGTCCTTTAATTGAATTATGAAAGCTGAGCTGTTTGTGGGACTAAAAGCAACGTGTTTAGTGCAGATTGCCAATGCGTCCTGCCAGTGCACATTCCAGCAGCAAGCCACAGAAGGAATGGAGCAGCCATCTGGGACATCTGGGTCTGGACTCTGAAGATGCATACATAATAAATACAAGGCCCAATCTTGCGGTCCTTTTTGTATACAATCTTAGTGGCATGACAGTATAAGAATAGAATGCGTGCGAAGGGTTGTAAAGAGCTTCAGAGGACAGTGATGAAAATTCATAGACGCGAAAGACGTCCAAATCAGGAGACATTAAAAAGATTGTGACAACCATACAATGGGGGTAAATGAGATGGGGCATGATGGAAGTATATTAAAATAGCATAGAGAGGAGGTGAGTCCGGAGGTCCTAATAACCCTTTCTCCTAATACAAGATCAAGGAGCTATCCCATGAAATAAAAAGACAAACAATTAAAAACCGATAAATGTAATACTTAGCTAAAAAATGTTTCATTAACTTGTGGAACTGCCCAGGGTGATATTTGAAGCCAGAAGCTTCATGGGAGTAAAAGAAGGATTATGCACGTACATCTGGTACTGGCTGCTATCAGTGGCAGGATACTGGACTAAAAGACCACGGGTCTGATCTTGTATGGTGGTTCCTATGTTCCTAGATGATTAATAAGTATATCCACAGTTAAACTAGGGAGGGTAAAAATTGATAATGGATCTCAGCCCTAGTACTTCAAAACATAAGCCAAGCTGGCTTGGGTTTAGGAAGAAACTTCATCCATTGGGTAAGTTATTGCAGAATTGTGCGTTTCTGGGCTTTTGTGCCTTTCTCTGAAAGCTCTGATGCAAGCTACTATCCGAGATGGAGTAATCTAACTGTGTGAACTGCTGGTCTGGTCCGGTATGGCAAGCCTGTGTTGCTCTGGGATGGAAAATGGTACCTGTGCCTTCTCTGGGGACTCAAGTTAAAATGAATGATATTTTTCAGTGGCTGTTTCAAACATTTTATTTAGGCTTAATAGTTATGTTACTTTGCTAGGCAGGTTTGCCAGTTTGCATTAAATGAGTAGTTTTTACAAATCGTAATAATACTCATAAATAATTCCTTGCTTCTATATCATCCTGAGGAGCCCAATGAGCTTCACAAATTATAAATTACAGAAACACTGCAATGCAGCCAACCAGCATTGCAAACAGTGCCCAACAGTGGGCGAGGAGGGGAAATACTGCCCAAAGATACCTGGACAAACCCCTGTTAAGGCAAAACCTTTAAAGGCATGGGATCGTTAAGGCACCAGAGAGCAGACCAGATCTTGGCTTCTATGATGTCCTTAGAAAGCAAATTACCTGTCAGACATCCAGTGCTAACACTGTTTGGCTCATCTAGGCCTCCGTTCAGGACAGCACTTATTTATGTGCTTGACTTAAATCCCACTGGAGAGCTTAAATCCCACCTAAGTCAATGGGTATGTCTACACAGCCCACAGGAGTGAGCCTCCCAGCCCAGGTCCAGAGACTCGGGCTAGCTGGGTTCATGCTAGTGCTCTAGAATAGCTGTGTAGCCAGCGCTTTGACGTTATGATTCAGGCTGCAGCTCAGGCTCTGAAGCCTAGGGAGCGGGTGGGTTCAGAGCCTGAGCTCATGCCCACTGTTTTGAGGTTTTAAGTAGCACTTAAGTGATGCATATGTCTTGTACTTGCCCCTCTACGAAGGGTGGATTTCACCTGAATGGCACAATAGTGCCCTGTGTGTGTAACACTTCCAGACCTGGGAACGTGGCACCATCTCTCCCTGCTCCCAGAGACTGGTCCTAGCCCCAGGCTCAGTGTGCACCGCATGGGCCTTTTCCAAGATTATTTGCCTGTCAGTTATTGCCTCACGGCAAGCAAATACAGCTGCTTTCATCGCAAAAACCCTTTTTAGTAGCTAGCAGGCAATGGGAATTGCCAATCCCTGCCCCATTACTCTCCTATCAAATCCCAATATAGAATTGCGTCTTATCTACTAAGAAGTTGGCCAAGTGGAATAAAAGCCTTTTTTTCTTTTTACACATCCTGCCAGAATTAATGATGTTTCTGAGTCAGAGGCAGAAGGAGGCTGTGAGATGTATTAATCCCAAGAGGGGTTGACTAAGGGTAGAATCTTTTCTTTTCTCATATTATCTAGAATCATTAATTTTTCTTTTCCCTGTGCACATGGGCTTTATTATTCCTTATCAGTATAAACAATTTGTAGCCCACGGGATAGGTCTAATTAACTAGCGTGGTAGTAACCATGCAGATCAGTGATCTATATTCTTAAACGTCCCTCTTCCTCCATAATCATTCAAAAGAAATGAATACACAGCCAAGATTGAGCATCTTCATTTCAAACAGGAACAGAACAGAGGAAGGGAGGGAAAGAAATCAGACCTTCCAATGGTTAGTTCCAGTCTATGAGCTGCTTTTTCTTGCTCTTTCAATTGACCTTACGCTAGAGACTGGAATTATTGCCCTGTCCACATGGCTCTGTTTTTCCATTACCCATTTACTGTGGAAGCAGTAGTCTCCTTGCCCATCGAGTTAAGCTAACAAAATCGAATCACTGTTGTTGTTGTTTTTTAATGTGTGTGAAATTTGCTTCATAATTAAGAAATGAAACCAACAGCGCTCATTTCAGATTGTCATCGGGGGGGTTGGAATTTACATCATAGTAAAACTGTGTAGAATAATGCTCTCTGCAGGGAGCGCCGGGTTATTATTGCTGTTAGAGAAAGGAAATCAATTGCATTGATTAAAAATCTATCCAGGCATCGTCTCCTTGGCCATGACTTGACGCGGTATGTAATTGCTTTCACATTTATTTCCTCATAATCCCAACCCCCTATTCTACAAACCAGGTACACTCTCCTGAAAATGACCAAAACCCACATATGCTGAGCTGCGCTCTCCAAAGGTCAAGATTCTGGTTTTGGCAGAATAAGCTCTTCAGGGCAGGGACTGTCTTTTTGTTCTGTGTTTGTACAGCACCTAGCACCATAGGGTCCTGGGCTAGGACGGGGGCTCCTAAATGCTACCACCATACAAATAAATAATAATATATATGGGACTCTAGTTGATAGATAGAATTCCCAGTCATATCAACATACAATTACTATATCGGAAGGCACTTTACTGTCTCTTTTTCACAACTCTACATAAACAGAGAGTCAGTTGTTAAAATTGCACCTTCTTTTTTGATACATACTGTGTAATTAAACATTAATATCTATTGTTTCTATAGACCTAATATGCATGCATGCACACACGTTGGGATTTTAGTTTGCTTATTAGGAATTGATTTCAACTTTCTCTAACCCACGGTGCTCTGGAAGGTGAACTAAAAACCAGAAGCTCTGTGTCCCACCCCCAGACTGAGACTGCTTTGTGGAGCTCTGTCCTGGCAATAGTGAATGTATCATAGCACCGTTTTTATTGAAAAGCACAGAAGAGCTGCCCAATCTTTCTCAATCCATCGCTTGCTTCTACTGGGATTTCTTAGCTGCAGTTTGTCCACTAAGAATAAAAGAGGAGCATTAATTTTGATCAGACTCAACACACCTTTTGAGCAGATTGTACCCAGAGAGTATGAAGAGCTAAACTGCTTCAGAGTTGTGATTGGGAATTGCCACTAGGAATTCTGTTGTCGTGCATTCAGTGGACGGATGCATTAGCAACTTCCAGGGCTGGTCAGGTGGAAGGGTTTATTGAACTTAATTATACATTTGCTTCAGTGGTCTCACTTGTCCCCTCATTCCATATATTGTGAAACAATGCCAATCTCACACTGACTCTACTGATTGGCAGTATGGGAAGAACCTTCCACACTACTGCTTGCGCTCTACCTGCTCTGTGACAAGAGAACTTCACTCCCCATTGCTGTCAGCCTGACACCTTTCACAATTGCCAGGGCCCTGATTTTCATAGATGTTGGGCTCCCATTGGCTTTAGTTGGAACTGTGGATTCTCCATGCTTCTGCAGATCAGACCTGAGAGCTTAGTTTATCTTTACAAATGAATCAACAGAAATAAAGTAAGTGAATTCCACTAAATATACTCTCATCCCTCAGAGGGCAAGTCTCACTTGTCTGTATCGTATGTATATAGATGCATTTTCTGGGCTGCCTTCCAAATCCAAGTAACACCCTTTGTCTTGTGGGGGGCTGTTCCCATCTTTATAGACTGTGAGGGGATCGTCGAGGATGTGGTCCTGCTGGGAGCTCCAGTGGAAGGAGACGCCAAGTACTGGAAAGCTTTCACAAAGGTGGTGTCGGGCAGGATCATAAATGGCTATTGCAGGTCTGTACATGCACAAGCTCGACGTCTCATTATGGCTGGGTCGCTGTTAGTGGATCTTTTATTTATTGCTTTTGAACATTTTGACAGCCCCAAAGATTGAAGTATTAAGGAGCGCTCAGTAGAGAACCATCTTCTTTAGAAGTCATTGCGTCCATTACTTGGATTTGAAGGTCTTCAGGAGGCAACATAAGGCTGTTCTGTCTTGGGCTTTGATTAACTATTTATGGTGAACTTTAGACTGGAAGCCTGCGCATATAAAGGATTTGGTACTTAGAGACTGTATTTCATATACACTTACGGCTGCTTTACAACCCTCTGGCAGCGTAAAGGGGCCTCAGACAAGGTGTAAATGTAACTTACATCCACTCTTAAGCCTCTTAAAACCAGCTCTTCAATTCACAGAGGGTATGTCTACACTACAGCAGCACTGCTACAGGACTGCAGTTATGCTGCTGTAGCACTGCAGTGTAGACGCTTCCGATGTCAACAGAAGGGGTTTTTCCATCGATTGTACATAATCCACCCTCTCAAGAGGCAGTAGCTAGGTCAACAGTAGAATTTTTCCATCAACCTGGCAGTGGCAGTTGGGCCAACAGCCTTGAGCAATATAGCTTAGGTCGAGCTAATGTTTAGGTGTTGACCAGGCCTGAGAGCTAATTTGTGGAATTACTTGTTTTTAACATATGTTAAATCACCTAATTGGCCAAGCCTTAACAATGATGCAAATTTGTCTACAAATAAGTATACAGAGAGAGAGAGAGAGAGAGAGGTGTGTGTTAATATACAATATATTCTATTATTTTACATACCTTAAAACGATCAGAAGAGAGAAATTAAAATCACAAGCACTTGAGATTAAAACAAGAAATCTTCATTACTCCCATCCGTATGGCTGAGCTGAGAGATGCTGCTTTTGCTAATTTTGTATCGCTGAGGTCTTATAGATGCAGGATGTGTATGCAAATTACTGCATTTCTTCATGTAACATAGCAAAAAAAGCAACTGCTGTCTCCTGTACAGTAGTTTCTGGGGGATGTTTCTGTTTTCCTCCAGGAAGCCATTCATGATTAGCAATTTACGTGTATAACTGAATTTGCTGTAGTGTGACTATAGATCATCCCAGAACTGCAAAACAACCTCTACTTATTCCAGTGCAGAAAGCATAGTATATTTGTTTCCTGTAATATAAGAGAGATAATCTTGTTATCGTTTCAGAGCTTGACTGTGCTACTGAAATAAAATGGGCTATGTGTGTATAATTCAAGTTAGTCTCTTTACTTTGGCAGGCCATATTTCGACTGTTCAACAAACAGCGGTTAATAAATTACAGCTCAGTTGCACACAAACAGGAGTGACCAGGGGATGAGATTCCAGATACATATCCTAGTACATTTAATCGCTAAAATCCCACAGGATGCTGCAGCTGAGAAGCACCAGGTCCATATGAAGGGTGATGTGAGGTGTTAATTGGAGAGCTATGGGGTGGATTTCGGTGAGAGTATCTGAGACATGAATCAGGGAAATATGTTATTTCCTAATAAGACGTTCACATGGGTCTGGAGATGTGGGGGTTCCCTGCCTTGGTGTTTGCATAAATATTGAGCCAGATGGTGGTGGATCAGAAGTAACTTCACGGAAGTTTGTGGACTTACATTGGTGTAAAACGGGTGTGAGATCAGAATCAGGCCCATTTACTTGAGTTTCAGTTCACACCTCCCAACGTTGACGTTTCAATGAACCAAACATCTCGAAGTGAAAGCCAGTTGAAACTGCTACATTGGATTTCGTATCATCCGAACTACCAATGTCCTGTGATCGCCCTGTAATACCATAAGTCAAGCCATGTTTGCATGGCTAGACCTTTCAAACAACCTGGTCTGAGTAATGAGTTAGCAACAAATACAAAACCGAGTGAATTTCATGTGGCCTTGGGAGTGTTGCACACATTTGGCATAGCTCCATGTGGGCTTTATTCACATCTGATAGTCAAGGACAGTGGTGAACAGGCACAGCTGGAAGTGGCAGCTCTTAGAGTAAAATTCACCTGTGCAGAAGGCCAGCACAAGGGTCTATACACCACTGCAGTCCTACTTAAGCCTTCATCATAGAGCCCAGTTGGATGTAAGTGATGTCCAGGCTTTATGCCAGCTCTCTGCACTGGAGAGAATTTCACCTTTCCAAATGCATAGTCATTTTATTAATCTTTAGACCAGCCATGCCATCTCTGGCCCACCACTCAAGATTGGAAGCACGATCTTGCTACTTCTCCTATTAAAAATCTTTCATCCAGAAAGATCCTAAATTACTTTATAATTTGCATATATGTCAGCAGCCACGGTGCCTGTGCTCAACATGTTTACAGATGCTACAGGCTGGCAAACTTCTACGTGTTAACATATTACAAGGAGAGTGTGCAATAGCTGGGTGCAGCCCTGTCTCCCTGCGAATCTGAAATAATTTTAAAGAACTTGATCCGGAAGCCTCTATTCACGGGAGTAGTCCTGGTGAACTCAGTGAGGCTACTCATGTGAGTCAGGATTATTCCTAAAATTTTTACAGCTGTACCCCAATTATTTTATCCAGCATGATATTCCAGGCTTGATTCCAGGACAGATGAAGCTGCAGCAGCTATTGGTACAGACTTTGCCCAGGTCTACACTAGTGGGGTGGTTGACCTAAGATAGCAACTTCAGCTACGCGAATAGGGTAGCCGAAGTCGGTGTATCTTAGGTCGACTTACCTGGCCATGAGGACAGCGGCGAGTCGACTGCTGCCGCTCCCCCGTCAACTCCGCTTCCGCCTCTCGCGAGCTGGAGTTCCGGAGTCGACGGGGAGTGCAATCAGGGATTGATTTTATCGTGTCTACACTAGACGCGATAAATAGACCCCCGATAGATCGATCGGCGGGTAGTGAAGACCTGCCCTTAGCTGGGCTGCCTGGTCCTGTCATCTCTGTCTTTTCCTGTGTTCCCCGAATGTCTTCGTGCATTTTGTCAGTCTTCCAGCAAGGCTTATTAATACCTCTGTTCCATTTTCCTCCTAGGGGAGACTGGCTGCTGAGTTTTGTCTACCGGACCTCCTCTGCTCAGCTCAACGTTGCAGGCCTTCAGCCAGTCAGCCTGGATGACAGGAGGATGGTTAATATGGATCTTTCATCTGTAGTGAGTAGCCCTCTTCATTTCCTTAGTATTTCACTCTGTCCTTACCGGTCATAGCCTTGTGTTCATCTTCCATCCACCTAGCCGCATCTACACCAGGAACACTTAGGGCACGACATTTTTCACAACCCTGGGTGATGTAGCTAGGTCAGTCTAATTTTTAAGTATAGATCAGGCCTAAGAAGAGTGAGTAACTTTGTGTGTGGGGGGGGAGGGATAGCTCAGTGGTTTGAGCATTGGCCTGCTAAACCCAGGGTTGTGAGTTCAATCCTTGAGGGGGCCATTTAGGGACTGGGGTAAAAATCTGTCTGGGGATTGGTCCTGCTTTGAGCAGGGGGTTGGACTAGATACCTCCTGAGGTCTCTTTCCAACCCTGATATTCTATGATTCTTCCCTCTATATGTGCACAAACCTCACAACTCCATGACTTTACCATAAACTCCATGTCAGATAAGCCTTAAGTCTGGACCTACACCTAATGGAAGCTAGAACCTGAATGTTATGTAACGTTGTAGGGAGTATTTTGTTTCCACTGTTGCTTTTTTTAAAAATTCTGTAATATCCTGCATTGGAGAAAATGGTGTTTCTATCCCATCAGATCCTACAGGAGTGGCATCACTTTCAGAAAGACAGTGTGGCCTGGTGCGCTGTCTGCACTTGCCCTAAACTCAAACACTGAGGCTCGGTGGTGCTGGAACTAAAGTTGCCGGGAGTGCTGCCGCAACCCCTGGCTTGACGTACTACTAACACACACCAAATACCTGGTTGCCATCATCAGCACCCCCACTATAAGAGTTGTTCCAGTGCCCCTGATGAGACCTGATCTACGCTTAAAAACTGAGTGCCATAGTTAGGTTGACCTAACCCCAAATGTAGACATGGCTAGGTCAGTGGAAGAAATCTTCCCTCGGCCTAGCTACCACCTCTCGGAGAGCCCTATTAACTATATCAATGGGAAAGCCCCTTCCGTCAGTGTAGGAAGTGGCTATGGTATGGTGCATCAGCGGCACAGCTACAGCACCGTCGCTGTGCTGCTGTCACGACTGTAGTGTAGATGTGGCCTGTGCCTACTCCCCAACAGAGTACCCCACTTGTGAAATTTAACAACCGCTTCATACTCTTGTACAGCCCCTTCACACTTGCACACAGGATACCACCAAAATACCTGCTCTCCCCTACCCACCACTAAATCCATAACCTGCTTTCATATCCCACCTCACTACTACAGTCCCCATGGCATGAAGACTCCAGTACCCTGTTACTTACACAACCTACACAATTCTGTAATGAAATGATGCAGACTCAGCATACATAAGCACCTCTTTGCTTTGATGACATACACGGGGGATTCAGATCCTGATCTCCTCATCTCACAGTCACAGCTCTATGATGTTCCTCAAACTGATCCCCAGTTCTCTTCATCTCACAATCACAGCCCTTCCAAGCTGTTCCAGCTTATTCCTCCGCTATTCAATACAGCTACACTACCACAGTGAATGCAGTTGGAGTGCCTGCAGATAATTCCCAGGAGCTGTTGCCAACTGCGGGTTATCTTAACTTTGTATTTCCTGGTCCACAGAAGTTTGAGTTTTGCTGAACCTGACATTCTGGAAGGACACGAACTATCACCGGGCGTCCTTAACTTTGCTTTAACTAAGGTTTTGCCATTTAGTTTCCAGTATGGTCAGAGACTGCTTGCAAACTACTAGTACTCTTGGGGACCATGCACAGCAGCCTAGCCCAAGAAGGGAACATCTGCAAAGTAGCAGGGCCCCCCTGCTTTGTGTCTCATAATTCGAGCACCGCTATGAGTAGGGACCAGGGGGAACCCGCAGTCTCATCTAGCTGGAGCTTTTGACGGTCTTGAGCAAGTCATTTGACCTTGTGCTTCAGTTCGCATTTCTGTCCCGCCCTCTTGCAAAGCGCCTCAGGATCCTGTAGAGAAACTACATGAAAATATAAATGACAGAATTCTGGAGGAGGCTGGGAGTGCTATGCAGTGGCGAGCTCTGCTTCTGGTGAGGGCAGGAGTCTCCTGTGTCGCGCCAGCAGCAACTTCTGCAGGCTCCAGCATAGGTGCTGCATGGGATGGGTTCGGCACAGATTTCTAGTTATGGTGGCACAAGGCCATGGGAGAGGGAAGGAGGGGAGGTTATCAAGGAGCAAAGTATGGACTTCAGGAAGGTGCTTCGTGCGAAATTCATTCTAGCACCCTTCACGTTCAAGCCATCTCCCAGTTTATCCATGGTGAGGGCCATTTCTCCCTGCGGATCCTTTCAGACTTCAGAACTGAGCACAATGGTTAGAGTTCCCCTTTCAATCTGGGGTGGGGGGATGCTGGAGTCCAAGGAGCCTGATTCTTGCTGCTGTGGCAATTTAAAGGAGTCTCAAAGTGCGTGGGATATAAGGGATATATAAAGGGCCTTCGCATAAATGAGAATCAGGGCGCAAGGCATTTAGCCTGTGTCTGTTTTGATTAGTACGGTCTGCTTTACCGTTTCCATTTGTCCTGCCAGGGCCCTCTCCTTTCATTCTCCTCCAAACTTTTAAGGCCTCATTTCTCTAAATCTGTCCGTGAGGAAACTAACAAAATGTCCTCCCACTCAGCAAATGCAGTTCTAAAAGCTTCCTGAGCGCTTACAATGAGACTGATTGGTTCAGCGGATTTATTTGAGTTGTAACATATTAGGCTGATTGCTGTTTGTGCAAGTGGGATGCTGGAGATTACGATTTACATTAGCATCTGAATATCGAAGCAATGTTGTTAAGAGTCGGAATGTAGGCAAAATGCTTTTCATGTGGGCTTGGACGTTACAGGCATTTGCTTAGGTTTCTTTAGGCAATTTTAATGTAACCAAAATCTGAGATGAACTTAAAGGCATGAAAATAGATCTGAAGGTCTGTCTCTGTAGGTCGAGTGATGAACTTCATGAAAGATGCAGGAAGTTAGTACTGCCATGTTGTTAAAGGTGGGAGAAGGGCTATGCATATATCTCTCTCCATATACCATCCCAATAAAGGAATCACAGATTATCCAGGGCTACAAAGTTTATTTTCTGCTTTACATACCCATATAAGCAAACCCCAATTTCCACTTTGGGCCGTTTATAAAATATCTGTTATATAAAGTTTAAAGACCTTTAGCCACGATTAGGACTTGCATTCACCTTGAAATTCCCTGCTTTCCCATGCATTCAAATGGCAGCTGAATTCTCCTAGTTCTACTCTTTATCATTCAGATGTCACCTTCCTAGATGATGTTGATGATGATTATTAATTTCTCTTAAGGTAGCACATAGAATGCCCAGGTGAGATCAGAACCCCATTGTGCTAACCACTGTACACAGGAAAAGACGGCCGCTACCCTGAAGAGTTTTAAAGGGTTAATAGACAAGACAAGACTAAGGTGTGAGGGGAAACTGAGGCACAGAGCGGTGATGTGACTTGCCTGTGGTTATATAGCAGGTCAGTGGCAGAACCAGTAATAAAACCCAAGTCTCCTGAGTTGGATACAATTTTGTCACAGTAAAATTAGGCAAAATTCATGGTAAAAATGTACAAAATCAGAGTATGGTCTCGGCAACGAAAAATGTGTAACAATAAGGTATTGTGTATCGCGGAGGCGTTGACACTGACCCACAGGCTGAGTGACCCGCTGAGGTGAGTCAGGGAATAGAGGTGGTACTCCCTCTCCGAGTCCTACCACCTGGGGTTGACATCAAAGCCCCAAGCCCTGCCACCTGGGACTGAAGCCGAAGCCCGAGCCCCACTGCCCAGGGCTGAAGGCTGAACTCAGACATCTCCTAAAATCATGGAATCCATGACCTCCGTGACGGAATCGTAGCCTTAATTATCATTGTCATAACAAAACTGAAAGAAGTGTTGTCCGAGCACCACACTGGGAGCCAGGTACTCCCGAGTTCTAATCCCAGTACTGGAACTAATTCCCACTGCAGCCTTGAGCAAGTCACTTCCCCGTTGTGTGCCTCAGTTTCCCCATCTGTAAAATGGGTATAATACTGCCATCAAAGGAAGGTCATAAAGATTAATCAATGTTTAATGTGCTTTGAAGACTGAAAGCATGTCGGGCCAGCTAATCATTATTACTCTGTCATTTAAGACCATTTTAAAAGCACTGATTTACCCTTCTTTGCAATAAGATGTAGTGATGAGAATTTGTGACCTGTTTTACACTCCGATGTTCCTGTAAAATTGGAGAAGCAAGAAAAGGCTGAATAAAAGAGCTCTTTTTGGAATATGCTGCACCAGACATCACCATAGCTCTGGCTTTTCCCCTTGAGATAGTTACAAACCTTTTTGACTTGTTCTTTTCTCGGCTGCTGAAACTGAGCAGTGAAAAGCCAGATCTGTGACAGTGATAATTAAAATGGAATTCCTGCTCTTGCCCTCCAAAACCTTTCTTAGAAGTGATGCCTTGTTACTAGCGTCTCGAGTGATTCCAGGGCAGCCTGGTTCACCACCTGCGTGGGCTCTTTGGATGCAGCAAACAGACAAAAAAACAGTATTCTAACAATCTATTGATTTAGCACTTGTGTGATTCGGGCTTTTCCTCAAAGGTGCATTAAACTGTGTTCTCATCGTGGGCCCAAAACTTGCAGCAAAGAATGAATTCTGATGCTGAAATGCAGGTTTATTAAGGACCCTGGGGACTGAGCATGGAAGTAGGTTGCCTGGGTCTTATTGCTCCCAGACAGAATGACTTGTTTCAGATGAGCAGTACCACCTTAGGCAGGTAGGACAGGAATGAATACAATCCAAAGAAGAAAAGCAAGAACGGGAACTTGATTCAATCAGAAGCTAAACATTTCCCTGGATAGGAACTTGTAGCGATTCTATCACGCTGCAGGAAGGAAAAGCAGCTAAAACCACCACTTTGTTGGTGATGTTGTGGGAGGGTGAGGGACCGGGGGGAAAAACATGACCTGGAAGATTTCATTAAGTCCCTGTAATGTCAACTTCCAGTCCAGCTTCAGTTCTGTTTC